TGTATAACATTGATCAGTAATCTTTAGATTATAATCAAAATTATGTTTTAGCATTTTCATCTTAGCAGCAAGTTAAATGGTGCACCTTTGACCGTTTAATTTACAGTCAATCTGTTAATCAATAATCGATTGAAAAGCAATTACATTTCTATTTGCATCATTGTTCAATAATTTTTGAATAATTAGTCTTAATTATTATCCCAATTTTACAGCTCAAAATGAAGAGACAATACAAAAAGTAAACTTTCCTTGCCTCAATTAACTTGCAATATCTTTTTACTATTTTTTGATTGTAATAATCAACAATTCCTGAGGGTAAATCAGTCTAAAAAGCAAACAGACAATTGAATTTACCTTGCGGCCAGAAAGAGTTGAAAAATGTTTTTCCATTTGAAAACAAAAAGTGAAAAAAGATGAATGAAAAAGCAATTTTGATTGTTTCATTAGACTAGTGAAAGTAATAGGAAAAAGATTTTCAGGTTAATCAAGAATACAATTAAATGGCAAATAATTACCCATATTTAATAACCATTAGGTTAACAAGGAACAGATGAAGAGAGCAAATTTAATAATAAAGTTAATCAAGAAAAGAGTATTATTACACTTGGCTTTCCTGGTAACAAGATGAATGCTATTTATTAATCAACTGTCAAACAATCAACCTTTCTCCGTCTGTTAATAGCGATGATAATCAATACTGCCTAAACCCTTATATTGATTTAATTGAAGTTACATTTCAGATGATAATTGTTTCTCCTTGAAAGATGTTCATTTCTTCCGGTTTTACACCCAACAAATGGCAACAAATGGTCAATCATTGGGTGAATCATGATCAACTCATATCGATTGAGAAAAATTTCAAATGGCAAAACATGATTAATCAGCGTTTTAAGAGAAAAGCCAAAAGCGACATTAAAAGATGAAAAGACAAATCATGGAAACTGAACTTCAAGCGTCCATTCAAGATATGGATAGAGTTGAAAAATAGATAAGTCCAAGTGCGGAGGAGTTTAGATGGAGATAAGGTGAATAATCAAAGGAAAGATTGAGATGAAGTGCTATTTTGGTTGAGAAAAAAAGTGACCTTAATTCCTTTTAAGATGAACCTTTTTGTTTCGGATATTCAACGTGTTCAGCTTAGTTTAATTGCTGATTAACCAATCATTTAACACAAGCTGAAGAATCGAGCAAATTATTCAAACCATTTTCTTCTCTTCATGATAATCTGATAATCCATCATTTAGATGTTGCCTTCAACATTTAAACACTTTTTCACTTGCAAGTGTTTTAATGTGCTGGTCAACCAATTCAAGTGTCTTCAACAATCGAGTCTTGGGTTAAAATCATTCAATACTTGATCTACTGTCGTTTGGGTTAACTCAATGGCTTTGTTCAAGTGAAAGTTGCTCCAAGTTGGACTAAAAGATGTTACACTTTTTTTTAAACAATTAACGTTTAATTTGTGTATTCAGGTTAACAATTGTTTCACTTTTGTTTTTACATCCATTTAGGAAATTATATCATTCCATGATGAACATGATGGAAAACAAAGAATTCATTATGATTATGATTAGTATTCAAAAGAAAGATTAGTATGATAATTATCATTATCACTGTGATTATCATCATTAGAATGTAAAGTTGTAATTAAGATTCACTTTTAGCATCTTTTGCCTTTAAACAATTTTATTCAATTTTTGTGCGAAAAGCATTTCCTGAACTTTGATTGGAATCTCAAAATTGAATCTGAAAAAATTGAATTCAACAAAAAAAAATGAAGAATCGCAAAGAACTGAAATTAAGATTGAAAAGTTTGAATCAATCATTTTGCTCAACTTATCATTGACTTTGCTATGAACTTGAAAGGAGGAATCAATTGATGAAATTTGATTCCTATTCAATCGATGACTTGATAATTCAAGGTTTTCATCCTGTCCATCGATAGACAATCAATCAATAATGAAAGATAATCAACATTGGAAAACAATGATAATCAGTTGATCATTTAAATGTTGATGAGTTTCAATGTTCTCTGAGAATTACTTGGAATGCTAAAAATTCATTTACCTGTGTGGTCTTGCTATTGAAGTTTAATCGATAAAATCAAATACTATTCAACCAAAGGAAATGGCAACTTCTTGAATAACAACGTCTTGAGCTTGAAATCAATTAACATGAAAAAGCTTCGATTGTAATCATAAAAGACAAAATTGGTTTCATTCAAAGTCAGAATCAAGTTGAACCTTGATTGAGCCAGAATTGATGAAAACGCAATTATTATTAATAGAAAACATTTAAAAATGAAAATGAAATTGAAGACTAATTTGCTAATTAGATTTGAAAATTGCAAGAACAAAATGGAATAGAAAATGTGAAAAACTAAATTTTCGAGTTTCAGTGATTTATTGATCAACATTGATTGACATGAAAGTTTGCAAATTTGATTAAAGTTGAGCAAGACTGAAGGATAAATTGAAAAACATGAAATAATCTATAAATGAACTCAATCAATTGAACCTTTTTTGAGAGCAAAGAGTCTGACCTGATATAAAGTGTTAACCAGAGAAGAGATTAAAAAGATTGAGAGTAAAATGAGGATAAATCTATCATCATCCTGATCATTTGCATGCTCATCAGCATTCTCATCATTATCACCATCTTCAGAATCTCAACCTGAAAAAGCTGATTTTCTTGACCAAGACAGAAAAAAAAGCTCAGCAAAAAACTTTAATTCCTTAAAAAAAGAGATTCATTTTATGATATCAATCAACTGATTGTTCAATAATTTTCATCTTATCAGTGTGTGATTTGCCCTTGTTTGCCATCAATGTTCATCCATCATCATCTTAATCTTGATTTAGTTTTATCACTTTTCTCTTTTCACACTTTTTACCTGGAAAAGGAACATTAAAAGTCAAACGGTCAAAATGGCCAATAACAATTGCTGGCTACCGCCTGGTATCATCTTCATCTTGACCCAACAGTGCATGTGTCAAGATGGAAATGATTCCATGATGATCATGTCAATTGTTTTTGTGTGTTTCATTTGAAAATGAAATTACGATTCAAACGGGAATCGCTTTCGACTAAAAAAAGCAAAAGGTGACTCTCTTTAGCCGATTATTGAAAGAGCAACAATGACCAAAAGAGTCTATCTTGAGTCTATCTTGAGTGTATCGTTCCCATCTTGGATAAAAAATTCATCAGCACGATTGTAACTTACCCTGTTTTCAATCACATTTGAAATGCATTATAACCAAATATGCATTTCCTTACCTTTTACTGCATCATCATCACCGTTTAAGTTTCATTGGTTTTGCTTTGTTTTGTTTTCCATTTTACATCATTTTTACAACAAAAAGATGGAAACATTATCATTTGAATGTCTTTTATTTCCTTTCATCATGGACTGAATGAGAAACAAATGAACAATAATTCAATAAACACAATATTTATGTTTTAAAATACCTTTCACTGAAATTATAAATTCAACCTTCTTTTATCGTAACATTTTTTTTCTGCTTAAAAATGGTGTTTTGGTGAAAAGTTATTTTCTAAATGAATAATTGCATTGATTGTTGCTTTCAACATTTGTATTTGCAATTCAATTGGTGAGAAACAAAAGTTTCACAGAAACATTGTTGACCAAAAGTGTCTTTAGATGACAATTAAAACAATCAACTTTGTTCAATTAAACAAAAATATTAAAGCTTTAGGTTTAACCAAAGGTTGGTAACGGCAAGATATTGTGATTATAATGAGAAGAGCAGGAAATTGAAATGTTATAATGAGTCGAGTCAAGGTAAAGACTAAGGAGTTTCAAAGGTAACATTGTCATTGAAAGGAGTTGAGAGGATTGAATAAAGTTATAAAACGATGAAGATGAGGTGTCAAGAGGTGAAAATGGTTGTTACCTGAGCATTTTCAGTAAACACTCAGAACAAGAAGCTTTCTTAGAAATATTTTTTTCTAGTTTCTGTTGAAGCGATTTGCACTGATGCTTTTCACGGTTTACTATGACAATGAAAGGATAAAAGTTGATGAAAATGATGCAGATGAAATGGGCAATTGAAAGGGCAGGGCTGGACAATCGCCTTTAATGTTTGAATTAAAAATTAACTTTTAAAAGGTTCTTTGGTTTACCTTATTCTCATGTTCATCAAAGAAAAAAGTTTATGATGATGAGGGTTACAATAATGAAGAGGGTAAAAAAGATGAAAGAGTCAAAGGTAAGGTTAGTTGAAAATTTTTCATCGTTTTTTCTTCTTCATCAACAAAGAGAGGGAAACTCGCAGGGAGATTCAAGCAACAAAACTGTGAGCTAATATTTTCTTTTTGCATCATCATCATCATCATCATCATCTTTACCTTTGAGAGAAAGTAAGGGCGTTTTAATGTAAAAGAAGACAGTGGAAGAGGAAGATGATGAGAACAATTGGTGAGCTTTTTTTTGAAGAGAAGGTAAAAAGAGAGGGAAAAGATTGACAGGCAAGAAATGATGATGATAGAGTCAGGCGAGAGTATTAAAGGCATGAAGGATGAGAGGCAGAGGATAAGTGGAAGAGCAGAAAGGAGGTAAAAAAGTTGGACATGAAACAAACAACAGCATCTTTGAGGTTTTTTGGGGTTCCACAGTTTTTGTTGCTTAAGTTACAAACAGAAAAACAATTTAACAAGACTTTTGCTGTTGCTCTTTTTTTTGGCCAATTTCTTGGTGAAAAGGTCACGATTCAAAGGTTATCTTGAGGAAATAATGTCGAGATAATGGGTACAATTTGCTCTTTTTTCATTGGTTTTCCCTTTTTTTCTGGCTACTTTTTTTACTTTCATTTTAACAAACATTTTATCAAAAGTGTGGAAAGTTGATTTTGAATGATTTTATCAATTGAATGAAATTGCACAAAGTCATTGAGGTTTTGGTTGTTTTTTTGGAAAAATTGCAATTCTAATTGTTTACCAAATTTTGTTTCTTTTTTTGGTTTCTTTCAATTTGGACTTACCCAAGCTTTGGATAATGTAACCCAAAGGTGGATGAAGGATTCTCCGTGCGTAAGCAGTTCGGATAACTTCATATGCATATTCAGAGCCAATCATGAGGATTGTTGAGGGAAGTAAAAATCCAGTGTAATTGAGGGTTGATACACTTGAAACTAAAGAAGGATTCCAAAAACATTGGTAATTTTGTTGGACGAAACTGGTAAACAGTTCAAGTCCGGTTAAACTTTTACATGAACAAGGATAGTTTGGTGGTGATGAAGAGGGTGACGAGGGTGAGGAAGGTGGTGAGGAGGAAGTAGATGTTGAACTGGTGGAAGAGGCTGACGATGAATCGGAAGAATCAGACAATGTGGTTGAGATTGATGAGCAATTTATTTTTCCAGTTGGTTCCTCGGATGGTTGTTGACTTGCTGATTGAAGAGAAGATGATTTACTTTCAGGTTCAGAGGGTGATAGAGATGTGAAAGGTGAAGAATAGGTTGAAGCTGTGCTCGGTGTAATGACCATTGGTTGACACTTGATTTTATCACTAAACTCATTGTCATCAATAAATTCCAATCCAGAGCACCGTTTACAGGGTAAAGATGAACGACTTGGATCTGGATTGAAGGAAATGGCCAGACAATTGCGAGCCAAAACCAAACTGTTTGGAGGCCGGGAATCGGCTGAACGTGATCGCGGACTCATCATTGATCTCTGGACAAATCAGTTGACAAAAACGCTTAACACAAGCAAAGGGCAAAAATAGCTCCAATTGGTTGAAGGGTAAACATGAGGTTGAACAATTTCCAGACGAATTTCAATTTCGATTGAAAACTGTTGTCACCTAAAGGATAGTAGAGATGATTGTTAATGTGTGTGAGATGATTAATTTTGTGGTTAATTAATGAACCATGTTGGGATGGAGGAAGCACTGTTGAGGAAAGTGAAGTGAATGGGCAAAAATGGGTAAAAACATGGAAGCACAAATTGATTATAAAATTGGAGACAAATTAATGACTTTAATGACACAATGTTACAGAATTACAATTATAACTGTCGATGAATATTGTTTAACGCTGGTTATGATAAATGATTGGTAATGTCAACTAATGTTCAACTGTTGAAAATGGTTTCATCTCAACGGCAACAAGTTATCATCTGGGAAACAAGTTTTTTGCTGTTTGCCATCAACTTTGTTTTTTTTCATCCAACGTTCCAACATTTGCGCAAACGCTAAAACCTGATTATCATCATCATTAATAATAACAACATGAGCAAATTCATGTTCAACTTTACATGGAAATAAAAATAATGGAAAGTTGAGAAACACCTTTACATGGAACAATTCAATTTGACAATTTCAACCAAAAAGTTTAGTTGAATTATCCGTCGATTTTGAAGCGACGAAAATTGCCGACAAAATTCTGACCTTGAAAAGCCGAAAATGGCATCTCAGTTCGAATAGTCATTTGATGATTGAATCGTCGAAACGCGCAAAATTGTGATTTCGTTTCACCAAAATTCGCAAGAAAAGAATAGTTTTTAATGGAAAATAAAATCGAAATTTTAGGCTCATTTTGGGAAAATTTTGGGTGCGAAGCATCACGATCGATCAAAGATTAATCAAATGATTTTGGGTGAAAGGACTTGAGATAAGATCAGATTTTTTTCGTCGATTTTTGTTGTTCAAAAGTTTACTTTCTCAAGCTTAGTTTCCGATGAATATTGAAATGTTGAATCTGTATTTATGTTTAAATGGGTCAAAAGTGATTAGCAGATAATCTTGGGCCGGATTGGCCGTTCGATCTGAAATATTGGATTGTTTTTTTTCTTCGATTTTTACACTATTCCATTTGATTGTGTTGGATCGCTTTGAATTGAATTTGGTGAAAAACAGTTTCACTTTTTTTTCTTTCCCTTCTCCTTCATACCATCTTAAAAGTTCCGTCATCCATTGTAATCATAATACAATATCAATAGAAGACAATGTTATCAGAGTAGATTAAACAGAATGAAAACTGGAAAACTGTGAACTCCAATTGATTACAATTAGTTACAGTTAACGTTTCTTGTTTGGTGTTGTTCATGTTGTTGATGCTCGTTGATATTGTTCATCATGTTTGTGTGTGTGTTTTCATCAGAAACTGAATTTTCAAAAGCGATATCATGATCTACGCAAAAAAGCACAAAAATTGAAATCAAATTCTTACAGATCTTGATCAAAGTCAACCCAAAAAAATCTGGTTAAATAATCATCTTTTAGGAATCACAATATTTGTGAATAAATAATCAAAAGAGTTATGCCATTCATGATAGACATGATATAAAATGCTATTTCCTTCCTGTCATCATCCAATTAGATTCAGATAGACTCGCATTTTCGGTCAATTCAACGGCTTTTGCTCGTCCATCATTACCAAACATCTCTTGTCTCAAGTTTATATTGGATCATTTGAGATTGTATACAGAATTCAAATACTTTTTTGCTCACCTAATGAATGATATAAGAACAATTCTGATGCTGAGATCAAACCTCATCAGCTTAGTTTCATTGCTATCAAATCAATCGACTAATTATTAAATAACTACAACAGTTCAAGACTTTTGTCCATTTTTAGTCCACAGGTTGTCCGCCCATTTTTACATTAAATGGTAGATGACAATTAACAGACAATTAAGAAGAGAAACTTAAATGAGGCCAAATTAAAAATGAACTTTTGTAATGTTAAATGAATGTTAAGATTGTCTGGTTAAATCAATGAGATTACATGTTAATTGGGAACACATGAGAGCGAATAATGAAAGATGATCGAAAAGATGATCAATGA